GAACTTTATTAAAGGGTCATGGCATTAGGAAGGTTGAGAACCACTGACCTAGAGGAAGGAGTTCACAGTCTAACTGGGGAGACAGGTACAGAAAAGAATTTCAGTGTGTAGTGTGGTCAGTCCATTAACAATGATATGTTCAGTGGGCTGTGGGAGTCCTAGGACAGATGCTCAACCCGGTTGAGGACCTCTAGAAACCTTGGAGGAGAAATCGGAACTGAGTCTTAAAAAAAAAAAAAATCAAAGTAGTCACCAGGTAATGAAGGGGAGAAGCGGGTAGTCCAGTCAGAGAAGATAGCATTTGTAGAGCTCGGGAGGTGGGAAACAACCAGTGGAAAGTTCACCAATAAAAACCTTTATTTTTTTAATGAGGATATTCTGAGAGACTTTGTTAAATACCAAAGTCCACATGTGTCTATAGCCTTCTGCTTATGATTTAGCTATTGTTCCAAAGGACAACTTTGTGTCAAGGGGATTGAAAGATTCAAGGGACAAATTCTTACAAACATATAACCTATTAAAACAGTCTCAAAAAGGAACAAAAACCTCAAGCAGTTCTATAACCATTGAAGTAACAGAACCTTGAACCAGAAATCTTGCCACAGAGAAACTTGATCCAGATGGCTTTGCTGGTGAAAGACTCAAGGGACAGTTCCAAATTTACAAATGCAGTTTCAGAATGTAGAAACAGCTGAGAAGTCAAGAAGGACTATTACAGAACAATCTCAAAAATACAGATAGAATCATTCCAACCACAGTGAGAGTAACCTAAATCAAATCTAAAAAAATATGACCAAAAATATGACTAGAATGCAATATGGTTTAACATGGGAAGTGAATCAATATTAGATAATCTCATTAGCATATTTAAAAATTATTCATTTTTGTTGAGAATACACACAGTAGAACATAAACCAATTCAATGATGTGTACATGTACCCTCAGTGACATTGTTTTTTGAATTGTGCGACCACTCTCAGCATCCTTTTCTCAGTTGTTGCTCTTCTATTAATATAAACCCTAAGGGTCTCTTGATTGCTGTTGTCAATTTAATCCCTATTAGATAATACTTAAAAGAGCACCATGCTCAAGGCAGACCACTTTTACTGGTTTAGCTAAATTGGTGTTTGGTTTTCAGAAGACTTCAAGGGATATTTTCGGTTTATGGTTTAAAGATGACATTCCTGGCAAATTAAGTGAACTTTCTAACATGGGGGTATCTGAAGATTTACAGTAAACTACATATTTAAAAGTGACATATTAAGAATGCACACAGTAGGAACATAGCAAGGATACCTGCTCTCGCCCTTTTTCTTTTTAAAAATCATTTTATTGGGGGCGCTTACAGCTCTTATCACCATCCATCCATCCATCCATCCATCCATCCATCCATCCATCCATCCATCCATCCATCCATTGTGTCAAGCACATTTGTACGTATGTCGCGATCATTTTCAAAACATTTTCTTTCTACTTGACCCACCACCCTCCCTTCCTCATGAGCCTTTGATAATTTATAAACTTTTGTTGCATGTCTCATACTGACCGCTGTCTCCCTTCACCCACTTTTCTATTGTCCGGCCCCCTGGGAGGGGGTTATATGTAGATCATTGTGATCAGTTCCCCTTTCCCCCCTCCCCTTACCCTTCTGGTATTGCTACCCTCATTATTGGCCCTGAGGGGTTTATCTGTCCTGGATTCCCTATGTTTCCAGCTCTTATCTGTACATGCTCTGATCTAGCTAGATTTGTGAGGTAGAATTGGGGTCATGATAGCCGGGGGTGGGGAGGAAGCATTAAAGAACAGGAGGAAAGTTGTATGTTTCATCAGTTCTATACTACACCCTGACTGGCTCCTCTCTTCCTTGTGAGACTTCTGTGAGGGGATGTCCAATTGTCCAGAGATGGGCTTTGGGTCTCCACTCCACCCTTCCCTTTGTTCACATCGATATGATTTTTTTTGTTCTGGGTCTTTGATGCCTGATTCTTGATCCCATCGACACCTCGTGATCACACAGGCTGGTGTGCTTCTTCCATGTGGGCTTTGTTGCTTCTCAGCCTAGATGGCCGCTTGTTTATCTTCAAGCCTTTAAGACCCCAGATGCTATATCTTTAAAAAATTTAATCATTTTATTGGGGGCTCGTACAACTCTTATCAAAATCCATCCATCCATCTATTGTGTCAAGCACATTTGTTGCCATCATCATTCTCAAAACATTTGCTTTCTACTTGAGCCCTTGGTATAAGCTCCTCATTTTTTCTCCTCCCTCCCTGCTCCCCCCTCCTTCATGAACCCTTGATAATTTATATATTATTATCATTTTGTCACATCTTACACTCTC